TTGTCCAAGTCAACTGCAGCTTTTCCCTGCCTTTTGCCCTACCTTTTACCCTACCTTTTGCCCTACCTTTTCCCATGCCTTTTGCTTTGCCTTTTTGAGCTCTCAGGTGGATGATCAACAAATTCATCATCTGAACTAGGGTGTTTCTGATCAATATTATCTACCGTATCATTCTCGAAGTCGTCAAAAAGACATATCCCTTAAATTCAACTACATAAACAAACATCTAAGAAGTTAGTTAAAAAGAAGTATTTGCTGATGGTATACTATTTTACAACAAAAAAAGTCATAGTTATACCAGTGACTTGGTATACCAGAAATACAAATGAGTATATCACATGATATACCACTAATAACAGAAACAAACATCTAATAAGTTAGTTGTCACGACCCAAAATCCCTCCGAAGGAGTCGTGATGGCACCTAGTCTCTAAACTAGGTAAGCCTAACATTTACTGAAATAATATTAACATTTACTGACTTCAAATTAAATAATTATCAATAAATTATAATTCCCAAAACCGGTGGTACAAGTCATAAGCCTTTCTAAGAGTAGTTATACAAAATAAATACAACACTGTTCCAGAACGAGAAGGAATCAATGGAACCTAAATACAAACGAAGGTGACTCCGAGGCCTGCGAACGCAGCAACAGACTACCGTGAGTCTCCACCGCGACGACCCGCACAGCTACTATCGATCAATACCTGGATCTGTACACAAAAATATACAGAAGTGTAGTATGAGCACACCACGGCGGTGCCCAGTAAGTATCAAGACTAACCTCGATGGGGTAGTGACGAGGAACAGTTAAGACACCTACTGGTCTAATGAAATGAACAAGATATGATAGTAAAATATCAAGATAAAGATAACGAGATAATATCAACAGCGGAGAGAAATCAAAATACAAATAGTAGGAACAATAAAGGGAGAACACGGGTAGTAACGAACGATGCCCAAGTAAATAAATACTGACATAATAGGAACAGAGACAAGTAAGAATGTATTCAAATAAAGAAGGCAATACCAACTCAATCAATCACACCATGTCTAATACACAATCCCGACCATCTCTATCCTCGATTTCTCATATCATAATTCCAACTTCCGAACCTTCAGTACACTGTCACCTCGTGCCCCCATATTTTCCATGTCACTTTTAACAACAAAATCCACACGCTATACTATACATAATGTCCGTACAAATGCACTCAAGATGTTCAAGAAATCTCATTTACCTAGTATAAGTAAATTACAATTTCTAAACTAATTAGGAAAGTCAGCGAGAAAAGATGAGGTTGATTCTTTTGAAATTATTTGAGTAAAGAAAGTACCCCTTTCAATTAAAATACAACATCGACTGGATTATCACCTTTAACATGGGAGTTAATAACTTAAAACTTAGTAGAAATTCTGTTTTAAGTAAAATACGAGCTCAGACGATTTAAGGGGATATAATTGAGAAACTAATTGAATGAAAAGATATAACAATTTTTGAAGTTTGAAGTATTGGAATGTGTATATATATACATATATATATACATATATATATATATATACAGCGAAGTATTGAAAACACTGTAGGTTCCATCACAAAGGATCACATCAATAAAGGAAATTAAACAGTTAAAACACTTGAATAGATAACAACAAATAAACACAGCAACAGAAAGTGCACGGCATCACCCTTCGTGCTTTTACTCTCGTTCTCACCATAAGAATCAATATTCACTTTTCTTCTTCCTTGTTGCGGCGTGCAACCCGATCCCAATCATATAGTATTGTTGTGGCGTGCAACCCGATCCAAATCATAAAATACTGTTGTGGGCGTGCAACCCGATCCAAATCATATAATATTGTTGCGGCGTGCAACCCGATCCAAATCATATAATATTGTTGCAGCATGCAATCCGATCCAAATCATATAATATTTGTTGCGGCGTGCAACCCGATCCAAATCATATAATATTGTTGCGGCGTGCAACCCGATCCCATATATACAAGTCAACACCAATCACAAAGAATCCCGGCAAGGGAATAATAAGGAAACAACAATATCCCGCAAGGGAGTCAACAACAAGAATAAACACATCCCGGCAAGGGAACCAACAGTAAGAATGAAATATGTCACGGCAAGAGAATCAGCTATAACCAAACTTGTACCAACAATTACTTCACAATAAAACCTCAACTAAACAACAAGACATAATAAGCAAGTGATAACTACACCGATAACCACAACAATTGCACATGTAATCTATTTGCACAAAGTCATAGAGGAACTCACAATCAAGAAGTATCAAAGTAGTAAGGAAGGCAATCACTTCAATTAAGGAAATTAACGGTCAAAGCAACACGTAAGAATTAGAGGAAAGCTAACAACATCATGTGGAGCATATAGAGACAATTTAAGCAATTATTACACTCAATCATAACGGAATACTTTCCACATATTGAACGTAAGGACCTAAGAACACTAAAGCATATTTCCCACAGATAAGTCCGAGCACACACTCGTCACCTCGCATGCACGGACTACAATTAGCATAGAAGACTCAAATCCTAAGGGGAAGTCCATCACACAAGGTTAGGCAAGATACTTACCGCGAAGACGACAAACCGATACTCTAAAATGAACTTCTCGGGTGAAAAGACCTCCGAACGGCTCATTTCTAACCAAAAACGACTTGAATACATCTAACAATGCAAGAGAAAACAATTCCAATTAACAAAACTATGATTCCTATACAATTTGCAAAAAGTCAACAAAAGTCAACTCCCCGAGCCCGCACCTCGGATCCCGACAAAATTTACAAAAACCGAATACCCCATTACGATACGAGTTCACCCATACAAAAATTATCTAATTCCGATACCATTTGGTCATTCAAATCATCATTTTACATTTTTGAAAGATTTCACAATTTTTCCTAAAATTTCCTTTAGATTCTTATGAATTTGATGTTAAATCTAAGGTATAATCACAAAATATAGTTGAAAATTGATTAGAGACACTTACCTAATGATTTGGAGAAGTTTGGGTCTTTGCAAAATCGCCTATGGAGGTTTAGGGTTTGAGAAAATTGAAAAATGGGTGAAAATTCCGTCGAAAACCTCACTTAACAGGTCTCAGATGTTGCATTTGCGACCCAGGGTTCGCAATTGCGAACCCTTGAAAACTACGAACAAAATAGTGCTGACAGAAGTCGCATTTGCGACCAAAAGTTCGCATTTGCGAACTGGGCATCACAAATACGATGAGAAAGTTCGCATTTGCGAACACACTAGAAACCAGCAATTTTCCCGACACGAAAATGAGCATAACTTCCTCATACGATGTCCAAATTCGATGATTCTTTTTCCTATGGCTCCATAATTTCGATACGGATCTAATGGTTCAACAAACTGAATTTGGATCTCGTTTGCTCAATATGGTATCATTTTTGCTTGAAGAAACGACGATGAAGCATCCAAAAACAAGCGCAACATAGCCTAAACCTATCCGAAACTCACCCGAGCCCTCGGGTATCCAAACAAAACATGCACACAAGTCTAAAAACATCATAAGGACTTACTCATGCGATCAAATCATTAAAATAACATCAAAAACTATGAATTTAACCTCAAAACTCATGATTTTCTAACCTTTGAATCGGACGTCCAAATCACGTCAAATCAATTCCGATTCTCACCAAATCTCACAGATAGGACTTAAATATCATAACAAACTTGTACCAAGCTCCGGAACCAAAATACGGGCCCAATACCAACGAGTTCAAACATTAATTCATTTATTTATTTCTTTTAAAAACCAACACAATAATTTTCTTCAAAAATTGTTTTCTAAGGCTAGGGACCTCGTAATTCAATTCCAGGCATACGCCCAAGTCCCATATTTTATCGCGGACCTCCCGGGATTGTCAGAACACAGATCCGGGTTCGTTTACCAAAAATGTTGACCAAAGTCAACAAAAAAACCAAATTTTAACACTAGAAATTACTATATTTTTCATATTTTCACATAAAAGCTTTCTGGTTTCACACCCGGACTGCGCACGCAAGTCGATACACATAATATGAAGCTGCTCGTGACCTAAAACTGCCGAACCGGATGCAATTGCTCAAAACGATCAGTTGGGTCGTTACAAAAATCCATAATATCGTTGTAGTCTGTTGCCTTAAAGATTACTACCGGTGTCACATTGTGAGTAGTTTGATTTGCAATCACCGATTCTCATTTATGGCAACTTGGAGTCGTAGTTGAATTTGGTGATAATGTTACTTTCGTAGCATAGAACAACTTTCCATCAATTGCTTACGTATGGGTTCATTCGTCTTCTTGAGTCGATGACCTATCGAAAAAAGCCTTTCTATTTCTTCGGAGTAGGGGTAAGATCTGCACTACGTATCTAGATATCCCTTGTTGACTTGTTGTTGTTGTTGCTATCCAGGCGCGCCTGAATAGTGCCTCGGGCGGGTCCATAATTAGGGAGGAGCGTGGGGCTCCTCGTATATCTAGGTATCCATTGGGGATTTTTCTAGAGAGAGAAAAGAGTCACTAGGTTGGTCGTAAAAATATCAGGTGAAATAATATAGTCAAGAATATATAATTAAACGAAATATTCGTCAATCCAATGCTTAAACTAAAAATAAATTGCAGATATATAATTAAGGTATTAGCAGCTAGAAAAAGAAAAAAGTAATTTTTCGTCGACTATTTGTGTAAAAATCTCATAATATATGCAAATTGGCCCAATTTAATAGAGTTAAGGTGCAAAACTTGTTTTCCAAGAAAGAAAGAGGCCCTTACTCCTAACTTTTAGGAAAAGAAAATACAATCAGACCTCTCTATAAAAGCTTCCTTATATAATAACACTTCTCTATAAAAGCCAAATTTTTCAGAAACCAAATCTCCTGTTCTATTATAATATATGTTTTCTATAACAGACTGTTATAGAAAGGTTTAACTATAGGCCTATCATATAACTTCTTCCCTTCTATATACTTTCCTCGTCAAAAATATTCACATTATAAAAACAGATTCAACCGCATGCCCGTGCACGTAGAAAAGAAGTAGAAGAAGAAGATGGAGAAATTGAAAGAAATCCCATCTGAAATTGTGTTTGCAATTCTAACTTGGCTACCCGTTAAGGCTTTGGACAGATTTAAGTGTGTATCAAAATCTTGGTCCTCAATTATTCTCCAACCTGAATTCGTGAAATCACATAGGCCTTCCGGCTGCATACTTCTCAATATCGATATTTCGATGAAGAAAGGCCTCTTTTACGCATCCATAAATGTAAGAGGTGATTCGTTACGACACGAGCAAATCGAAGATTTAAAGACAGTGAGTGCATCTCCTTATACATGTACAAATATACATATGTTTCCTCCGTTCTACTTTACTTGTGTGAATTTGGGAAGTAGGATCTTAAGTTCTTTGAGATAAAATTTAGAAACTAAATAGAGGTATTATAAGTTACAATAATTAATAATTTAATATCTTTAAAAATATTTAAAAAATCGTGATTAAAGAAAAATTTATTCAACTCTCCGAATAGTAATCACTTTCACATAAAGCGGAACAGAGGAGTACTTTTTTGGATTAATAGGATGAACAATTTGATTATATTTTTGAATCATATCTCAACGATACTAAGCGCGATATATACTCTTCTATTTGAAAAGGGGAGTCAACAAATAAAAACCCTTTGAGTTTAAGATTTCAGCAGTTTCCCTCTAATCCAATATTGCATGTGATTTAGATCTAAATATACATGTGTGAAAGAGTATAATAGCGACATAAATGGAAATTTGTGTTTGAAATAGAAAAGAAATAAAAATATGTACATGTAAAGAACAAAACTTAATTGTAGATATCTTGCATAGAATGTCATGCACAGGGAGGGCGGATTTATAAGGATATATATGGGGTACGTGAACCCATGGTCTTTCCATCAAATTAGGTATTTTATGTACATATTTTTTAGAATTGGTCTAATATTATTTGCTGGCCCTCATGCTTCAAAGAGGCTAAATGGTACTTAGTTGCAGGGGCGTACGCAGGATATTTAGTAAGCGGTGTCAACGTTTTAAGAAGTGAAGTGATGAACAAATTACAGTAACAAGATTATCTTAGTAAATCACATTTAAATGTATTAACACAATTATCTTCTACGAGCTTTCTTTTTCTTGAAATCTTTTCATGATAGTCGCACTTTTCGTTTAGTTGAATATACCATTTTCTTATTGCATGATAGTTGTTTGGATGATATATTCATATTGGTAACATTTACTCAGATAAAACATTAGCAAAATTAACTCAATTCTTTCGCTCAGTCTTTCAACAGGATGCTACTGTTCGGATTTATGGAAATCTCTTTCAAATTAAGTAAACTTTGACAGCTTAAACTTTCTTTTAAAAACTTGAAATATATAGGAGAATATTTTATTAATTTTTACTGAATTACAAATTAAGTAGAATTTCGATTAGATATTTAAACTCTACAAAATTATATAAACTTATAAAGTGCTACTCATATTTCTTAGTCTTGGAATTTCGTTGAATTGTCTTCTCTGGGTTTAGTGTTCTTAAGGTTCTTTTTTCAAAAAAAAAAAAAAAAAAAAAAAAAGAAAAAGAGAAAGAGGAAGAAGATGAAGCCAGTTTGCAAAATATTCATGTTTAAACTTTTTTCTTGGAATTTCGCTGCATTTTGTTGGCTGGTCTTAAATTGATTATTAGTTATGAAGAGAAAAAAAATAAAATGCTAGCAAGAGGATTTGAACATGGGACCTTTTTCACACGACACAAAGCCACTGCCTGACCGCTGAGCAAAAGATGCTTCGTGTGGCAAGGGGTGTCATCCAAATTTATTTGGTTAATTTGTCCTTTAATCATTTTCCACACATATAATTTAGAAAATTCTTTTAGCGAAGCGGGGTCGGGTGACACCGCTTGGTGCCACGTGCATCCGCCCCTGCTTAGTTAAATGTTGAGTTATTTACCTAGAAAATTAAGAATCATATCCCACTTAATATTTTTTTTTCTCCTTTTTCTTTAGCGGTGCACCCATATTATAAAAATCCTAGATCCGCCTCTAATCATACACTTATACCTTGAATTTGTCTCTATTTTGCAGGAAACATTTGTTCAACGATTAAGCATGCCCTGTTTTGGTTATGATAACATTACTCCATTTTAAACGGCCTTGCTTGCCTTTACAAGGGCAATCAAGTTTCACTTTTTAATATATTTACTTGTGAGATTATGGAGCTTTTCCCTTCCCGTATATATATTGTAGGTCCTGGAATTTGGTATGCACTTGGTTTCGACCCTGTGGATAATGTATACAAATTGCTTAAAGTTAGTTCGCAACTAGATTACAAGATCCTCACTCTGAATCCAAGTTCAAAATCGACATGGAAATGGAGAACGATGGATGTTCCGCATATAGTATCCATAATTTCTGTCAAGGATCAACGTTAATTTGTAAATGGGGTAATCTTTTGGAAATGTTGTGACTGGCGAGAAGAATTTATTATAGCTTTTGATGTCCACAAAGAAAATTTCACCACTATAAACCCTCCAACAAGCTTACAGATTAGAAGATTAGGTCAATTTGAGGGGCGCCTAGCACTATCTTATACACAGTGGAAGAACCCTAATTCTTGGGTTTTGGATATTTTGGTGTTAGAAAATCATCAAAATTCTATATGGAATAAAATCACTATTGATTTGCCAGCTGAAGTAGATGAACACTTTTATATGGCTACACCTATTGGAAACTTTCCTTGTGGTGAGTTGTTATTCTCTTGCTTTGGCTTTGTAAGTGTAATAATGGAGATGGACTACTTATTTTATACTTATGATCCTATCAAGAAAAAATTCACCAATTTGATGATTGAGCTTCCTGCATATGTGGACCGTCTATGTCCATATCCTGTTGATCATATGTCTTGTCTTTTCGGGAAGATTACCACACTGGATGATTTACTTGGATTTAGAAAAAGAGTTGAATAATAATGATTAGGAGATGTGTAGTTAGAGATGGATTCATTATTTATACTTGTTTTTGTTCGGTATTTAAGTTTCTTAGTATTAGACTCATTGTACTTTTAAATTTATGTCTAAATTTAATATTCGTTTAATCATTTTTAACATATGTCATGGGCGGCTTTCCAGCCATGCCCCATGACCCCTTGGGCGCGCCCCGTGGCGTCCTAGCGAACCTCCCAATGCCTAGCGCCACGGATGGCCCCGTGGTCTTGGCCGCGCCAAGTGACAAGCGCGCAGGTGCCTCTGTCGCCCCACCGATATCCCTCGCGAGCGCCAAGCCGCAGGCAGAAGCCAACAGCGCCGCGTGCGCAGACCGTGATGCCAAAGACACTGCTGCTGACAACGGACCTGCTGCTGCCTTATAGAAAACTAAGTCATTTTCATTGTAAAT